ACTTAACCACAATGTGGTGAATTATATCAAAATCATCATCATCCGGAATATAGTATACTTGTCTTGTGGTTGCCAATTAATGAAACTGATATATATTTAACTTGATGGGTATCAGTGATTTAACCAATAAGCCTTAGCATGTTTCACTTCTGTACCCACCCTTATAATTAGATTTTTGGCCCTGAAACTGATTAGTATCAAAACTTCGGGGTTTTCCTTTAATCTCCCATCGGTTGTCAATACAAGTGATGCTACATCAGACCTGACTGGCTATCATTTTCTAACATCACCATTTTTAATCAAGCAGCCCAACACACAGTGTCTTCACTAATCTGTTTAATAACTTCTGATTGGATTTCCTGATGCTATTTATTTAACCATTCGGAGCTTGATTCTGCAAGATGCTGAGCTTCTCCATTCTTCAAATGGAATTGAGAGTTCTCAGCACTGCACAAAGAACCTTTCATAATCAGATTTGTGTATAATGTATGCACAAGCAAAGTTTCCTTCCTGTGGGTAATCACAGAACTTTTGTATGTAAGTAATAATTAGCCTGTGTGATTTTTAACATTAATTAGGGAAATCTTAATGAAGGGACTTATGAAATAATAGTAACAAAGATGACAATACTTCTCTTCATTTGAAATACAATGTTTAGCTAGTACTATATGAAACAAAGAAAATCCTTATTTTCAAAGAAAGGAACAAAAATGCTACTAAACCTGGCTGAAATATATTCCTAATTAACAATATTTGTACTATTCATGTACATAAAATGCCAGCTATATTCTTGAGATTGCACGTTTGATATTGGTAATTCAGAATGTTCAAACCAAATCTTAATTCAAAATGTTGCCTGATGATCAGCTTTTAAAATGTTTTACATCTTAAAACACAATATTCTGTTTATCCTAGGTTGTCTGGGGAACTTCTAGTCTAGTAAGAGATTTTTGTAAGGCATCTAAGTGATTTAACAGATATCATCATGCCTGCTAGCAATTTTGCAACATTCTGAAAACACTAAATACCATATTAAAGAATGTATCAATTATTTTCATTAATGGAAGGCTTCTGGATCATGATGTACTAATGGACTAAATGTTTAGTAGTTGTGAAATCTCATCGGTTTCTTCTCAAATGTTCTTGGCTTATTATATTGTTTTACAGTATGTTCTTAGTGAGGCTGGACAGTGAGATTTCACAAGGGACATGTAAAAAGATGAAATACCATATTAAAGAATGTATCAATTATTTTCATTAATGGAAGGCTTCTGGATCATGATGTACTAATGGACTAAATGTTTAGTAGTTGTGAAATCTCATCGGTTTCTTCTCAAATGTTCTTGGCTTATTATATTGTTTTACAGTATGTTCTTAGTGAGGCTGGACAGTGAGATTTCACAAGGGACATGTAAAAAGATGTTTTAATTTTAGTTCTTTAATTGCATTAATACAATAAACATAAAATACCAGGACATATCAAGTGCATTTTTATAAAAATTGCATGTATTGTATGTAATAAAGTATATTCTGTCACATACATTTACTTAGAAAACAAGATACTGTATGGTTAACAATGAAAAATAGCAATTATAAAAATATTCTAGTCTCATGCTAGTAATGTAAATGTCTTTACTGATCTAACAGACTTAACAATTTTAAATTACAATAATTTTACAACCTCCATTCATATATACAGCCCTATTAAAGTCAAAAGGTATTATAATAACAATGTTCTTATTAAGATTAAATGACTGAATTATATTTAGTCCTTTACCCTATAAAGCAACTGCAGTTCTGTTTGTTAAAATGTTTGCACTTATTTTACCTTTTCAAACAGAATCCCAACTCTAGACAGAGAAATAATTTAGGTCTCATTTCTTAGTATAGTATCTATATTCGTTTCATGAATTAAACAAGATGGTAATATTTCAACTCCCTTTCCTTTTGTATAATTATCAGTTCACTGGTTCATGTATACTGTAAGAATATGATGACCAGCTTTTAATATCTGCTACTAAAAACAGGCAAAAACTCCTCATTTTACATATCTGTAAAAAATGAAGCTAGTGACAGGGGTGCTGGAACAATTTATATAATCGGGGCACAAAGAGTCATTGAACTAACCTGTTAAGCCTCTATATTATGGAAACTACCTCAAGCCCAAAGGTGCCACCCCCCGAGTATCCCTAATTCCAGCACCTATGGATAGGGGATATCCCAGAACTACAGAAGTTTTCCTTTGTCAGGGCCTGAGTCACAGACACACTCCACACCTCTTGTATATAAGATTTCAACAAACAAGGCTGTATTAGAAATAATCTTGACATATTCCCCTGCAATCCTAATACTTAATTTACTCATTGACATTAATAGTTTTGCCTGAGTTTTGCTTCAGGAGTTGTCCGTGTATACATCAAATCTCTTTCCTCTGCACAAGCTTGCAATGAAGAAAGTATTGTGTCCTGGTTTAAAAAAATACTAAACTTTAGAACCAATTCACTATATTTGAGCTGAAAGAGAATTGTTAATTCTTGAAAATTAGGGATAGAGAGACCAACACGTAAGTACCTTTGGCCAGCCAGCCCTCTGTAATACTTCCTCAACCCAGCAGGATGCTTCTCCATTGCCATTTTTGTAAACTTTAAAATGTTTGTATTAATAGATCAGACCAGGAAACTATAGACTCTGTCACAAGGGAGCCAACTTAATTCTTTTTCCTCCAAAGATTCATCCCCTAAATGATGGGTAGGAGAAGTCTTTTCCACCCTATACCATTAAATGATTTCAGGGGTGACAAAATATTAAGTTGTAGTAATTCATGAAAACTCTAACGATGATCTGAAATTATGAATTTCTACTGGAAAGATAATTTAATGGCATTGACATGGCATTATCAATGACTACATCTGATGAGAGTGCAGTTGTCAATATATTTATTTGCAGAGACAGCTATTCAGTATATGGAAATAGAAGCACGCCATTAGATTTCTCATGCAGAAAATATATCTGGTGTTTCATATTGAGGGCATTGTCAGATGAATAACAATGAACTTTTTACAAAATCGTGGCTGCACTGTAATACTTTTTTTGGGGCAGCTCTTGTAGACACGGTTAAATACGGGATGTTCCTTAAAGTCAGTATAGTTTTAATGTATGGGCTAAAAATTCAATGGGAAAATCAAGTAACATATTCATATTTAATTTCGTTTTCTCCATTATGAGCAAACTCACATTGGTGCATTTAAAACTAATGTAGTAGAAGGTACAGTACAACGACAAATTAAAATACTTGACATTAGTCAACAATCCCCTCCCATTAGCAGCTGAAATGGGCAATACACATCCTAAATTAGATATCTGTGCATGAATATTTGGCTATATCCTATTTTGTATTTAACTTTCACTACAAGCTAGTCCCTGACAAAACTGTGAACTCTAGCCAAACAGACTCTTCTCCTAGTCTGACCCTTGTTTACTGAGCCATTAGAAATGGCTCTTTTTCCTGTATTCATTTACCTTTGGTTAATATCCCTTCATGCTCCCATCTCCACTCCCCATGCTCTTTAACAAATACTTAACATCTCTGTTGTTGTTGTTATTTGCATTGTAATAACAACTAAGGCCTCGGTCAAGAATTAGAACCCTATTGTAATAGGCTCATTAAAAAGAAGATAGTCCTGGCCCCAAATTGTTTAGAGTCTAAATAATTTGATATATATGAGCTAATACAACTTCTTGAATTGACCAGAAAACTCAAAATGTTTCCTTTAGATGGATTTGGATTGGTTTTACTATATGTCTGCAATACTCCCGAGATCCTCAGATACAATTATACAGTTTATAAACACATGTCTTAAGCTCCTAGCAGTGCAATGAAATCAGTCCAATTGATATTGAATGAAAAGATAAAATTTGATCAAGAATACACCAGATAAGAAAACTAAGGTCCTCAAACTGGCTATGCTGTTGCACATTAGTCAGGTATGGGCTATGGCCTCGGTAAATCATTTAGCTAAGGGACCTATCCATTTAGCAATTTGAATGGATATCCAGGAGATCTCATTTGATATATGGCACTTTAAAAAAAAAAAAAAAAAGAAAAGGAGGGTAAAGACATATTCTATGACAATAAATTTAAAACATTCACTCAACTAACAGCCTGATTGACTCTCCCTTAGCTACTCCACTAGCCACATCTATATGATACCTTTTTTTAGACAGGCTCTGATAGAGCAAAGTTGAACACATTTCTACTTTGAAACATTTTTTGACTTGCACAAAGACACTCTTCTCTCACACCCAACCTCTTCTGACTCAGCTGAGGAAAGCTGTGAAGAGCTAGTGCCAGCTCAATTTGCAGTGTATTAATATTAGATTCAGAATGATTGCACTCAATCTATTCCAAGAATATACATCTCCAAAATCTCACTGTGTACAAAAACTGTGTCTTCTACCTGCCCTCCAACTGCCAAACATCTGTGGCATTATCAATTCACATATTTTGTGAGTACCCAAGACTAGCATGTTAGAAAGCAATGAATCATATCAATAGGAATCAGGAATATCCCTTTTGATTCCAAGATCTGCCTACTTCATTTTTATAGTGAATCTAGAAACAAATTATAATTCTCTCTGACAAAATACATATAATGGGAACCGAATTCATTGCCTTCCATATCCAACTGGCTCAAAGACATAGGTGTCAATTTAGATATTATCCTTTAGAAAAAAAACCTTATTATGTTACAACAGGAAATCACATACAATTCGGCTACGTCTACATTGGCCCCAAATTCCGGAAAAGGTAAGTCAGCATAAGGAAATCCGCGGGGGATTTAAATATCCCCCGTGGATTTAAATAAACATGTCCGCCGCTTTTTTTCCGGCTTGGGGAAAAGCCGGAAAAAAAGCGTCTAGACTGGCACGATCCTCCGGAATAAAGCCCTTTTCCAGAGGATCTCTTATTCCTTCTTTCCCTTTATTCCTACTTTCCCTCTGCTGACTTACCTGCTTTGCATCCCTTTTCCGGAATTTGGGGCCAGTGTAGACGTAGCCTTCATGTTTGGAAAAAGTTTTATCAGGAAAAACAGTAGAGAAAAGAGTTTGCTGCAAAGAGCTGGTAGCAATATTAGCAGTAATGGCTGGGTTTATTTGTACTGATTATGTTCATTGTGTCTTGAGTATGTTCATTGTGTCTTGAACATACCTGCACTTAGTATATTCTGTTGCCTAAACAGAATCTCTCTTGAAGCTTCTTAAATCTTGCATCTGTTTCTGCTTGATTCTTTTAAATCACTCTCATTATGTTAGCTTTTGTTTTTCTTCTGTACATCCAAAGCGTTCAAAAATAAATATAAAACATTGGATACTTTTCTACATGGGAATAAAATAGAAATTTTAAGGATTCTAAATACAACTTTATGGACTCTGAAGTAGATGCAGTTCACGAAGCACTGAATATATGCTGACTTTAATCTGAAAAGAGCACTGTGTTTCCTGTTTGTGATGTTTGCAACCTCACTACTGCAGGTACATCACATTCTAACATTTCCTCATTCTTGTGTTGCAATTGTTGTGTTTACTGAAATTTCTCACTTTCATTTAAAAAAAAATAACAAATATCTTGACTAAAACTCATCATTAAATTTGAGAGAAGAGAGTGGTAGATTCAACAGTGTGATAGGTTCAAAAGAGATTTGGATATGTTTTTGCAATGTGGGTGTTCATTTTTCTGAGAAATATTTTAATACTGCTGTGAAAATGCAGAGGGAAATGGCTAAAGCCTTCCAGTGAATAAGGAAGGGTCTGTGCAAATGCTAGCTCTGAACAGATGAAGTCAATTCTGGGCAAAGAGATAGGAATCCATGTTCATTTTTCATCTTTCTTTGAAATATGCACTCACTTACATCCTACACTTGCAGCAGCTTATGTCCACAACAGTTCTCCACCTTCTTTTCACAGAGTACAAGCATCACACTTAAATTCGTAACACAATCTCCTAGCACCAGGAAAGGATTATAAAAATTCATTATGCCCTTTCTAATTTTAGAAATCATCTCCATCATCTGTGCTAAAGCTACTTCTTCTGCTGCTTTCTTTTGATGCAGCAGGCGAGATTGAAGACAAGAGTGGATCTGTTCCAAATGGTGATATTGTATTATCCAGTAAGATTTCCTCTAACCTTTGTTCTTCTTTTGAAGCAGCGCTAAAAGACAAATCAGTGAAATACGAGAGAGGATCCGAAAAGGCTGTTGATCCATCACAAAGGTCAGCACTTGGTCCATGTACCAGAACCAGTTGCTGAGAATAGTCTGTGGCATTTTCCGCTGGGTATGTCTGTTGCTTGATGACTTGGGCAGCTACATCCACCGCGCTGAGTGAAGACATGAGTGGTAGCCCATGTGCACGAGCTTGTATTTCTAGTTCCTATGGTTTCAAACAAAAAGACTTAAATAATGGTTTTGGAAGGAAACTTGATTTCATTAGAACTGCTCTATGTAAGAGATGCACATTCACAGTGATTCTTAATCCAAAAGATGTGGCAATATGTTTAAAAATGCAATGTATGGACAATCCACGATAAATAGCAATAAACAACATGAGCTGGTTTTCTTTTTAATTCTGAGCTTTTATTAAAGTGGAAGCCCTATGGGAATATGAGAGTTATGACAGCCCCATAACACCATTACCCACAGTACTGAACCACTTAAAGGTGATGGAAAAATACCGCAGACATTTCTACTTATTAATTATCTACAAAAATTCAGGGCTGCTATTTGGAAAGAGAGCAGGTAGCTTACCTGATTATATATTTCTTTAAATCTTGAATTTCAAACTATGGAGATCCAGATTCTGATACTTTGTGTCACATGAGCAGATGATGTGTGACTTAATATAACATGGCACAATGTACCCCAAGGCAATGCAATGCCGTGGAAATTTTACAAAGAGGAAAAGAAAATACGGAGGAGGATTTAGTGTTCAATATTGTTTTAGGGAAACAAATGATTTTTTTTGTGGTAGTTATAATGTAGATATACTACATAAGAAGGCAACATTTCTTCAAATATTTTATTAGTTCTCTATACATGTGTTAACTTACATATGGCCTAATTATCAAAGGGCTTTTTAGAAATCTAAGATACCTATATAGCAGTAAATACGGAATTGTAAAATGATGTAAAATTGTATCATTCCTGCAAAAGGCCAACCCACTTTTAACAAATGGCATTTAGGAGAAAAATAATATAAATGAATTAAATTTGATGATGGATAAGTAGGGAGAAATCTTTGTAGTTCATGGTGACATTCTTATACAAACCTGAATTCGAAGCAGAAGTCTTCTGTTAGTCTGTTCTAATTTCTTCTGTCTGTGTTCTAATTCTCTGGCTCTCTGTTGTTCTTTTTGTAGCCACTTGATGTACTCCACTGATGCTTTTAAAATAGTTCCTTTGTTCCAGCGCATATCACTGCGGAATGTAGAGATAACCTTTTCACAATTGTGCATGTCAGCAGAATTCATAAGAACTTACAAAATCTTTTACATTAATATGAAATAATGATTTACATGACTATTATTCACTCTTAGATATTATTGCTTCTGAATGGAAATTTTAATAGAATAGTTAAGAAGCCCTTATATAGTAAAATTAATCCCAGAATGAAAATAAGTGTCAAAAGAAAGTAATAAAGTGACTTTTTGTGGGAGAGCTAAATGCAATATCATGATTCTACCATTACAGTTTTTATATTTTTAGTGAAAATTGCTTTTATTATTAACTCTAAGATTAAAATCTCTGTGCAGTATTTCTGCATTAATGAACTAGGAAATATACATTACTAAGGACTTAAGCCTAAATTTTTAAAGATCATTTCAAATATACTTCTCCTTTTACCTGACTTTCTAATGAGGTAGCTTTTATGCTTGTTGGGGAAAAAAATGGTCTTCCTGAATGCTGGTCCTCATTGAGATGAAGCAGACAAATTATAGTTTAGTAATCACACAGAGTATAATATGACAAAACTTTCTCAATTTGACCACACTGGAAACAATATATAGACGGTTAAGCAGCAGAACTGAAAACAAATCCCAAATACTACTTCTCCCAGGGTCACACTGGCTGTGGCATTGATCCAACAAAGATCTTAAGCACAATCTTAATTGTAAGCACACAAGTGGTCCCATTAAACTCAATGTGCTTAAAGTTAACATTGCACTTACAGGTTTTGTTGGCTGTGTGGCCTTGAAACAAAAATGCAGATTTTGGGATAAAGTTTTAAATCTTATAATACAGATACGAGCACAGCCCACATGACAGATACAGATTGCAAGGTTTTAGAATATCCATGTCAACAACATCAAAGCCAGAATGCCAGTAAGAGTCTCTGCAGAGGAAAGAATTCACCAGGGCCCTGTACATGTAATAACTTATTACGACAGGGTGACCAGATGTTCTGTTTTTAAAGGTGCCATATTTAAACCCTCCTACTGGGGTCCTGACTTTTTTTTAAAAAATGGGCAAATTGTGCTGAACTTTCCGTCTCCTCTCCGTCCAATGCTGATGAGTGCTGCTGCTAGCCAGATCCTGGCTTGCCAGCTGCCCACCTGTGTACAGTGAGTGGGAGGGTCCAGTGGCCAACTATGGAGGTGGATATGCAAGCTTGGTGGTAGAGCAAAGCTGCAGCACCTGAACCCAGCTGCTCTCCTTGCTGGTCCATCAGCGCAGGGCTGTAACATTTCTAGTTGGGAAACATGCCTAATGTAAGCCCTGGGAAGTATTATCAGCTTCCGAGGATTATTTGGAACACTGGGCTAGACAATTCTGAACTTTTAAAGTTAAGTGGGTTTCCCAGGAAATCTCTAGGGCAGTGGACAAAAACATGCAACTTGTGGGCTGCATGCAGATCATCAGAGTAACCCACTGGTAGGCTGTGAGATATTTTGTTGATGTTCACAACAAAACCGTCTGCAGGTTTGCCATTTCTGGACAATGGGACCTCTGGGAAGTGGCAGCCACCACATCCCCTGAGGCCCATTGCTTCTCACAGCTCCCATTGGCTAGAAACAGTGAACTGTGTCCTCCAAGAGCTACAAGGTGAGGGAGAAGGGAGCATGCCTGATGGTCATTGTCAACAAAATGTCTTGTGGCCCACTAGTGGATTACCTTGATGAGCTGCTTGTGGCTCTCAGGCTGCTGGTTGCCCACAACTGCTCTAGAGCGTAGCACATGCTAATATATAAATTTTCTGGTTATCCCAGGACTCAGCCTTTTGAGACATTACCCTGAGCAGGGGACCTTTATCCACTAATTGCCTATTAGATGAGGACAAAATTTGAGGCCTAATCTTTATTAAGGAGTGGCTCACACACTCATGAGTGTGCTTGTTTGGAGCCCAGGTGGTTATGAACTTGTAACCACAGAAAAACCCTGTGGTGAGGGTTTGAAAGTCTGTTCCCTTGCTGCAATTGCAGTGAGCTCAGGTAAATTAAGCATGTATGTAATTGGGTTTTTTTAATTGTTTAAATATAGTCTCTCTCAATGTTTTCATCTTAAGAATAAATGACTTGATTAGGAAAAGTTGTGTGGTAATGCTGTAGCCAATTATACTGATTATATTGAGGAGAAAAGTAAAGCACGCTTGCTCAGTCAGTCTGACTTGCTGGGGAATTCACAGAGAAGGCAAGGAACGGTGCCACCTAGAAATACTCCAGTCAGGAGTGAGTGAGATGTGTGTCCCTTCCCAAGAGCCACACGAGTCATGGAGTCACAAGCCTGAGAGGAGCAATAATGGTGCAGTTGACATGAACAGTGACACTGACTGAATGTAGTTAATCAGGCTCTGAAGGTGGGTTAAGATAACCCACATAAGCTACACTGCAGGATCGAAGTATACTTGTATGTGCTCTGTAAATGGTGAAAATGAAATACAAATTAAAAAAATAAAAACCCCATCTTTTTTTGCATTATAAACACCAAAAAGAGCACAGAATGATACTTCTGTCAGAGACAGCCTTGGAAAACTATACTTAGTCACTAACCTGTGGTGACTAGAATATCATTA